TGTCTAAGCACATGGAACTTGAAATAAATCTAGAATAACCCACTGCAACCAGTTTATGTTGATTTAAAAAAAAAAAAAGAGAACAATCTTGTCCATTGGTATTCAAATATGCTTTATTAATTAATTACAGAAATGGAATCTTTAGCATGCTTGACAAATAACATTATAGGAAACAAAGTTACATAACGCTCTGAGGAATTTCTTCATGTTAACAAGATAGTTGGTTATAGTCGAACAGGGGCAGTGATAAGCCTGCGGTGTACAAGGTAGAGGTAATTTTGTTGAATCAGTAGTGATTATGGCATTAATAGACTACTATGTAATTCAGTTCTGCAGAAAACGGAAGAGATAGAGATGTGCAAAATTAAGAGAAATGCAGAAGGAACTGAAAGATGAGTGAAGAGGCTTGCAAACATTTACAAACCTACAGTAGTTACATGCACAGGTTCAAGACTCTTTCTGGAAGAGTGGAAGGTGAAAAGCTAAAAGAGATAGGGAAAAGCAACTTCATATACGTTAAATACATTTTTTAGTATAGTTTCTAACTTTGTTCCCACAAAAGCAAAAAGTAATAAAAATTAAAGCAGTAGTGTAACTTCTGACATGAAGGTATCCTAAAGCATTTTATAAACAATGCAAAAATAACATATAAGCTGTGGCAGCAGCCTTTAAGTAGCTCAGTATTACTATTTGACTTGATCTGGAAAGAAATTAAGTTTTACAGTAGAAGATGGGTTGGAAAACAAGCAACACTGTGATACTACTATATTGCCCACTGGAGTTAAGTTTGCAATCCCCAGGAATATGTTTTTGCACTCTAAACAAATATTCTAGTCTGTGAATTTTATTAAGCTCATAAAAACCCACATAGTAATCGTAAATGCATATAAAAATGCAGCGGTGACTAGGAGACATACATACATAAATGTAGCTTTTTCCTTAAAAAGTATAGGGCCATTATTTATCATTGACCTTCCTAGTTTTTCCATGGCATTTTTTTGCGTGAGCAGTCATTTTCCTCAAAAGATTTCTCAAGGCTTCATGAAAAAAGTTAGTGGTAAAAGCTAAGAACATGTAATAAACTTGCAGAAGATAGTTCAGTATACCGCAAAATTAGAAGTGGAGAATATGTAAGTACCTTTTTTCATTTATAGTTGGAGGAGAGCAGGCTAACAGTTAAAATCAATCTACATAGAGTATCTAATTTACATCAAAAGCCATTTGGTCTGCTGTAATGCTGAAGTTCAGATGTTGTTCCCTAATTCAGTATTCAGTTGCTCTCAACTCCTACAAGTGAAGTATCTTCTGAACTCTCATTACTCAGGATCAATCTCTACCTCAATGGATTACTTTATTGTATTTTTGTTTGTGTCATCATGTCTTACCTGCCCCACCAAATTCTTTTGGTTTTATTTGGTTCCTGTCTCTTTGGAAGTTACAAAGATAAAGCTTGATGGATCAGAATGTCTTTGAGGCCTTTGCCTTTTGTGAAACTTATGGCAAAGCAAGGTCCTCTTCTTGGTTTAGGCCTTTTTAACCCCCTACATTATGGTCATTACATCAATGACTTGTTAAATTCATATACACCTTAAAGTGACAGTGTATCTGGTTAGTGTTCTCAAGAGGTCTGTATAAGAAGTACTTGTGCTTGGTTTTGAGGAACACCAGTAGGTTCTTGTTCTGATCTTTATTACAGGCGTTAAAAAAAAAAAAAAAAAAAAAAAAAAAAACAACTGGCAAAATGACAGGATCAGTATTTTAAACTTTCTGGAAGAGATTGTATTTGAAATCCTGTGAGACAGAAGTTAAATTTTCTTGAAATCTGAAATGTGTCAGATTTTATTTTAGACATATCATTGTTTTTGCTTGTTTTCAATTGAGTGTATTCCAAACACTTAAATATCAACACAGCATTCTTCATCCAAGGCTATACACGCTCCCAGCACTGCCTTAAGAATATCTATAGGGTTATCAATGGGAGGGATTGGGTTACCAAAGAGTTCTTCATGCTATGCTAAAAGTTTTTACAAAGCACGATCATTCGGCTTACCCTGCAGTGTGGTGAAGGACCTTGTTAACTTGAGGGTAGGCAAAACTTTGGAAGGTCTTTCCTCAGTGAAAGGAATTTCTTGACAGGAGGCATTTACTGTGAATAGGAAGTCTTCACCAAGAAGAGGAAACACAAGTTTTCTTGGAGTTAGCAACTTAGTCATCTGTAGTGATTTACAGTAAAAGTGAGTTAGGAGTCTGGGTAAAATAATGTGAAGAAACTGAGCTCTTACTGGTGGAGAGAGGAGGATCACATCTAAAGAACGTGTTACTTCATTTTGTACAACTCGCATAAAAGGAATTTAGTTAGTTGGCAGACTATTCCCAAGAAAATACTCATGGTTTTGGGATGTCATGCAATGAATTGGACTGAAAAAAATCCTCAAGGGTGTATTTAATCCTTAGTTCTCAGCGTGGACAATTGAACAGTAAAGCTCAACTGAGAATGAAACAGGTGGTGAGGCAGTGCAGCAATTTACTTGGGGGGGAGGGGGTGGGGGGTGGAGGAGAGAGGATTAAGAGGTCCTTCCCATCCTGAGCATGTTTTGTCAGAGAAGAGCCACACTTTTTTACCCTTCTAATCTTCAATGTGATCTGGTAACATACATGTAATTTGTCCCCAGGTGCTGATCTGCTACATAGAACCATTGGCACAGATTGGTTTATAGTTCATTCTCATACTTAGAGTAGGGGGTTGGATTACGTGAGCTCTGGAAACCTTTTCCAGCCTAAATTATTATTTGGTGATTCTATGAAACAATTTATATCAAGGACTGGATTTGTACCAAGATGTTTGAGCCAGTGCAACTGGGAAACAGGATAAAAAATTGTTTTAAGCTGTTTCTGTATCTGCTTTGCACATCAAGACACGGACAAAACATTTATGGCTTACAGCAGAGCACTCAACTTAAAACTGTTCTTACTGATAAACAGGAACTATATATCGCATATGTTTGCTGTGGATCCCAAGAAATTAAAGTTTTTCTGGGAACTGTGAAATGAAGTTGGAAAACATGAGGAACCTTGTCAAAGACAAAAAGCTTCTGTGAGTCTGTTTCGTCCTGGTGGAATGGCTTGTAATGTAATGCCTTTTTTTTTTTTAAAAACCATCGGAATTTTACTCCTTTAGGCATTGTGGAGCTCTTTTAAGAAATAGGTCAATAATATTTGCACCGAGCCATGTAGAGTGCTTCTTTTTATATGTGATGCATATAATAATTGTGATGCATTTATAATAATGCAGTGTGAATGAATGCACAGTTACATTTGGGATACACAAGCAGCTCAGTGACCAGGTCAAAGAAATTAAAATATTAAAACCAAGGTGAATTAGTTGTTGTAACCAATATTGGAAAACCTTGACCTTCAATCCAAAGAAAAATATATGATTTTTTGGGGGGAAGGGAGGAGTGTCTTTTAAAGTTGTATTGTCATGATACCAAAACATCTGTAGGTAACTTAAGGGTGAAGAGTCAGGAGGGGAAGTGTAGGATCAGAAACAATTTTTGTCAAATATTCTGTTAAAAAAACATGGTGGTTTCCTTCAAATTAGAGAGCATACAGTTTGAGGGCATCTTTGAAAATTGGGTGTCTTCAGTCAGCCTTTTTATGTCGACAAGGTAACGTATCACATGGGTGAGGAACTAGTGAGCTGTATTGGAATACCAGGGATAGGTTTATAAAGTATTTCTACGTAGGCGCAAGTGTACATGGATGGCTATGCATTCTGGCCCTCATCCTCTTCAGAAAATGTCTTACTTAGTCTCTTCTGAATTTTGGATAGGAAAATAATTAATTTGGCTATGCATTAACTAATTCCTTGTAATTATTTACATCAATTAAGTAAGAATAATAAAAGTCTTTGATAATAGATTGTCATTGAACTACTGTTAGAGATCGTGTCCTAAAATGTTGATAAATGAAAACTTGCTTTTTTTTTTTTTGGAGCAGCTGGACTGTAGAGCTCATTGCATGAATTTTGAATAATGATAAATTAACTATGCATATCTGTGTTTGTCTTGATAGTTGCAACACTACAGACAGAGGCCTGTTTCTCAGGCAATTCTTGATCTACATTAACATTGGAGTGATATATATATGTAGTACAGCTACTTCAGTGAAGGCTGTGAAGACTAATGAGTGTGTAGTAGTTTACATAAGGACCTTGTAGGACTTCAGTAGGATGTAAAGGTCTACATGATCCCAGTATCCTAAATGCTCTTTTGCCTTTGTCAAGCCTGTCTGTTACAGCTGAGTTGCAGTGAGCTGGAGTTGAGTGGTCTTTTTCCTTGATCTCTTCAAACTTGTCGAACTGGGGAGAATCATGGAAGAGCTTTTTTCCTATAAAGGAAACTGTATCTCCATGGTGTGTAGTAAAATAAAATCGAAGATAGACTTTTTCTTCCACAGATTTCAAGTTTCCTTACACATTTTCAATGTAAGTTGCACTGATACAGCTATTTCAGTGGAAAATCGTACCACTAGTTGGAAATAATGATCTGTGGATAGCTCAGGGCATAAATCATTCTGTATTTCATTACCACAAATCAAGGCAAATGTTATTTAATCTTTAAGGTCTTAAAAGTAAGCTTAAAAATAAAATTTAAAAGCTGAACATGGTTTGAAGGGCTCTGAAAAATTAACAGGCACGATCATAAGCAATCTAGCTGAAGCCATGGGATCTTTGAAATTTGCTGATGTTATCTAAACACCACTCTGCAGCTATTATGTACTGAACCTAAGTGGGGAGAGGTCATGAGATTTCTACTGTTACCCCTTTCCACCCTCACCCCCCCCCCACCCACCCCGCCCCATGTTCGCTTGTTCAGATATGTTCTTTGACAAATTAATTTCCCCAAATAGTGAAGGCTTTCTAGCAGAGATGTTTTTGGCAGGTTTGAGGGTCTGGGGATGAATACTTGCTTATGAAACTGTTTGTTTGTTTATTTAAGGTTGCTAATCTTGCTTGTTCACTGTCAACAAATGAAGATGGAATGAAAATTGTCCAAATGGCAGCTAATCACATAGAGACTTTGTGCCCACAGGTATGACTTTTTCAGTTAATTCTCATTACAGCGCTCTGAGCATACACTTAGGTCTTCAGTCGTGCTCCTTCATTCTAAATTCACATTCCATTTACACAGCTTAGTGTAGTAAATGGAGACCAAATGATAAATCAAAGGCAAATACTCAGTTGATTTATTTTTTTCTTAGTGGTTAACATCGGAATTGTTAATAGTCTGTATTGATTCAGAGTTTTAAAAATCTGTAAAAACTGCAATTGTTCTGTTTCTGAAATTAAAACTGATTAAATGAACGGTGTAACATCATAGGTAAATTGAGAGTATTTTTACTATTAGAAAGCCATACATTTGGTGACCATCAACTTGAAATATTATTACCACTTGATTTTGTTTTTTGTGTATGTGAATGTTAAAGTATGAGTTCTGATTATCCCCAATTCAAAAGCTTGAGCTTCTGTCTTGAGCAAATGAGTGAAAACCAGCACAGCTACAGATAATTTTTTGGTACTTACTATCTTACTGCAAGTGTATTCACTCTATATTTGTCACATTCGGAACTGTAAAGGTATAAAACCTTCTGCAGTTACATGTGTTTAGAGCAAAGATTTTACTGATTTGTGTGAATCTGACCTGAGTGTTTCAGCCTTGAGGCTACCTAATTTCAAGATTGTTAATTCTTTAAGGAACACTGTAGATTACACAGTGGCCTAAATATTTGTACTCTTTTGTGTGTTTGAATGCTAAATTTAGTTGACATAGAAGGTGAAAAACAAATATTAACAGTATGTTCAATTACAAGCTGGAGAAGTCCATTTTATGCCTGTTGAGTAAATGTGAGAGTTTGTGAAAAACTTCTGTCAAGGAAAGGTGATATTCTGAAAATAGCACAGATCAGTGTTTTCAATCATTCAGTTTCAAAGTCTATTTTTATAACTTTTACATTTCTGTGTTTAACATATCACTTTATTTGATTTAATGTGGTACTGGCTTTGTAAGAAGATTGCTGGCTTGTAAGAAGAATTCATTAATAGCTTCTTCCAGCTTCTTTGTTTGTCCAGGGGCACAAGTGCACATTTCTAATACGTTGTCATGCAACCAGATGTAGCTTTTTAATTGAAAACCTGCACTTTCAGTATTGCATCTGATACCAGAAACTCCTAAAATCTCTTTTTGACAAAATACTGATCCTCTCCACAGCCATTTAAGTTGCTAGGGTTTTAATTTCTTATAGTAAAATGGAAGTTTCTTGTTTGGTTTTTTCCCTGTTTTTCGTAAACCTTGAGGTAAAACAGGGCTGAATTAGTTCATGATTATAGATTTGTCTAAACAGAGAATGCAGTGTGCACATGATAAGGTTGTACTACTATTAATGGTGTGTTCACTGTGCAGGATTTGCTGCTTTCTTAGATAAGGACCATTCCCTGTGAAAGCAATTGGCATTTTACCGAAGAAAGAAATAGCAGAATAAGGCTTCTGCATTTTTCAGTAAATCAGATTATGCCATATCATTTAAAAATCCTCCACAGGGAAAATAATTATCTCTTAAGATCCCTGCAGGGCATATCAATTAGAGTTTGGAATGGGGAAATTTGCATGGAGAACTCCCCAATGTTCTTAAATTGTTAGAGTAAAAAATGGGATTTTATGTGCTCTGAAAAATATGTTTCTTGCAGGGAATCAGTGGTTTGGATTGAAATCTGAAATGGTTGAATTAAAACAGGAGAAAAAAACACCCAAAACAAAACACTCCAAACACCAACCAAAAAAACCAGCAACAAACCCAATATCTACAGAAGACACCTTGGAGTGTTGGGAGTTTTGCAGATTTGACCAGCAAAACTTCCCATTCAGCACTGGGGAAAAAAGCAGATACAGAACTGGCAAACCCTGGAGGAAAGTCTTTCAATTGTTAGAATTCATAGATGTGCTTATGTTATATTAACTATACTGTACTGTAGCTAAAACGTAGAGGGTTGATTCTGAATTCTGACCATATTTTTTTTCCTCAAGTAAGATTATTAGCAAGTATTTTGACTGTTCAATAAATTAAATAAGCTAGGCATGTATGTTAGAGCTGATACAAAACACATAATGCCAGTTGTTCCTGAAATTGCATGAATACTTCATGAGAACTGAATTTTGATAATATTTAACGTTAAATCAATAATAAAGGATAGAATAAAGAAATAAAGAGCTGCTAGCATGTATTTTGATGAAGGAAAAATGATTTCTGTTCATGTTACTAGCTTTTGGTTGGGAAAACTTTCTTGAGTGTTATCAGATAGGTAAAATTGACAATGTCACTTGTTCTGTGTGGAATCCTGACATTTACATGCATGAGAAGGAAAGAAAAGGAAAACCCAGAAAAGTGAACAAAATTCTGGTTTTGAACAGCAGTGGTATACATCTGTAGAGCTGTTTTGCTAATGCACATCTTGGGTTTGTTTCCCTTATGCTTCTCAGTTCAGTGGCACATTTGAAGAAATCTCGGGTTCCTCTAATAGTCCTCTGGAATAGGCAATGATACCAGATAGAGGGTAAACCTGTCAATCTAGAGATGGAGGAATACTCTAACTGTAGGAAACCAGAAAGGATCTGGCTTCTCTGTCAAAATTCTTGATGGGTTTTTACATTTACATCATATTTGGGATAATCAGCTTTCAGGTGGTTCAACAAGTATGTCAGGCACACCAGGCTAACCAGAGGAACAAGGGAGAAAAGACTCGGAAAAAACGGTGTGTTTGTGTCTAAGGAGCATCTAGCTTGTTACTTGACCTGGCCTCTGTGTTGGGACTAGGTCCTCTTACTTCTCTTTAGGTAGGCCTCTGGTTTTGCTGGGTTGGGGGAGCTCTGCTGAGGGATAAGCTTGAGGAATAAGGATGCCTTCTGCAACAGGTCCTGAAGGAAGGAGGAGGTGAGAAGGAAGCCGTTGATCAGATCTTGGATGGAGTTGAAGGCTGTAGATATGTGACTTAACCTAGGATAAGGTTACAGTGGTGGGGGAAGAGCAAAGAAGCAAGATTGAACGGGAGCCAAGGTAGGTGAAGGTATACTTGTTCTCTCAGAAGCTTATGTTTGTCAGAAACACAGATAGCAGAGGTGCTGTGATGCACATAATTAGAGATAATGACATTTTCCTCCCTGAGGGAATGGAAGCCAGGGAGTGCCAAGAGAGTTAGTGCAAACAGATCCTGTGCTGCTCTTTTTGAGGGGGAGAATGACTGAGCCTAAAGCTGGAACACATGTTTCAGAATGGAGATCAGAAGTGGCTAGTCTCAAGGAAGCAGCTGGGAAGAGCTTCAGCATGTCAAAGGGCTCTAGCTAGAGCCTTTTTATTAGCATAAAGATCCCTGGAGAGTTTTAAGGAGCAGAAGGTTTGGGCTAGTTTTGGCAGGACCATACCCTAAAAAGCAAATTTTAGGCTCACTGCCTTTGACGATGAGATCATGCTAACTCAGATCTTGTTAGAGCTTGCTATTAGTTGCCAAAATGGCACAGGGTGATTAATTCTGCAGTGAGTCGTGTCTGTTCTGGTACATCATGCAAGGAAACAAAATTCAGGAAAAATACACGAATGTTTGTGGTTTAGCTTAATATATATTTGGTGATAAATAAACTTCAAAAAAATCATTCAATCCCATGCAATATTTTTGTTAGCTATTTAAAAAAGACATGGTATACACTGGTACAACCAGAACCTCAGATCTTAGTGTTCTTAGTGAGTTCTGTTCCTCTCTAAATACTGAGAGGTAGAGACAAACTATCTAGTTAGAAAGCTATTAGGTGAGAAGGAAATCTACATAACAGGAAATCCATTAGAGGTTGAGTTGCTCTTTGTGTTTAAAAAATCAAAATGGAGATGAGGGAAAACATCTGTTAAAAAAAAAAAAAAGTCTGCACCTTGAGCTATTTTAGATGTATGTGAAGGTGTCACCTCATTTCTCTTAACTTGCACCTAACCAGGAATATATCAGAATCTAAAGTAGATATTACAGCATATTTCAGAACTGGTTCCTAAGCCATGAAGGAAGTTTGCAAAGACATAAATGTCCTTCTTTATAGCTAGCTATTGTTGATGCAAAATGTCTTATGTGGAAGACATCAATTCAATGGACATGAAATGCACTCTGAGCCAGTTAAATTTGCAGTCACTTCTGCTGTGAAGTGTGCGCACTCAGTGATACTGGCTCTGAGAAGGCTGCCTGCCTGCCTGAGTCTTACCTTTGTATTCTGGGTATGGGAACTATTGGCTAAAAAGTAGTGCCCATTACACATCATTTGCTGAGTACACATGATGAAGATAGGCCAGAAACTTTGTCACGAGCAAGACAGAGTTACAGCCTGTAGTAGATCTGAGTACTAGGGTTTAAGAACCAGTGAGATGAGTTTTAACCCTGCTTGATGATACCACATGCTCACTCATTTGTTTTCCCCACAGCGTTATGTTCACTAGGTCTCGACTTACATTCCCAGTAGGGAGATTACTGCTAGTCCAGGAAGGTTGGGCAGAAAGTTGTTATGGTTTTGTCCTGTACATCTGCTTGCAGTCATCTGTCTCAGGCCTTACTGTCCAGGGTCCCTGGATGTCTCTCAGTAGGTGTCTGCATATTTTCCTGACCTCTGGGATGTTTCCTCACTTCCAGGACTGTTTCTCTAGCCAGGATCAGCCATTTTTGGGTCCCCTAAACCCTTGATATTTAACAATCTAAGTGTGTGTGTGCAGAAGCATGAAGTGTGATCAACCTCCTGGCTGTTTCGTGTCTCTTTATTAATTGGACAACTCAAGATATGTCAGTTCTGTTTAGTTGAGATTTTAACAGAATTTAAAACCAGCGCATAGCAGTTGCAGCTAGCTAGTACCAGGCTTGAGCTTGAGAGTTCAGACCTTCTTCCCCTGCCCTTGTTATCTGCTGCCTCTAAGTGTTCAGAATTTAAGCTATTTTTTGCCTGCCACAGCTCTACACCATTCTGAAGAAACCCTTTGGAAGTAGGGGAGGTGAGTGGACTTTTAATGACAGAGC